CAACCATCTTCCCGTCCTTTCCGACCTGCCCCCACCCCCTTCGCCCACGCGCCGGCCGGCGGCGGCCGCTCTGATCCGCTCCGCTGATGGCTCCGCTCGTGATAATTGATTCGGGAGCCGCGCCGCTTTGCGGTGGGAGCGGCGGGGCTCCGGCGCCACTTGACGGCGCGGCCGATCGCGGCGATTGCGGCGGCCTCGCGCCACGCCGCGATCCGCTTCATAAAGTGAATTAAGATGCGTGCGATAGCGGCCCGAATCTATACATTAGCGCGTCCGTGGTGCGGCGCCAATGAGCGGCCATTAAGTGACTCTATTACCGGCGCCGGCGGCCGACCGCCACCTGTGAGTGGCTGGCGCGCGATAAGAGATTATCGCCCGGCGAATTAGGCGGAGGCACCGGCCGGAGCAGTGTCCGGTGCGAGGCTGGCGCGCGGACGTGCCGCGCACGCGCCCCGCGCCCCATCAGCAGCCCACTGGAGAGCGATGGCGTGGGGATGGTGCAGAGCATGCAATTTTATTGAGAGAAAGCGCAGCAAGTAGTGAAAAACAGACTGGCGGCACCTATTTCGTATGCTAAAGCCCTTACGTCGCGTTTGTTGGAAAGTGCTGCTAGCGAACGTCCGCAGCATTTTCAGTTCAATACTCAATGGGGTCAAAATGTAGGTGGGAAGCTTACCTTCTTGTTTGAAGAGACTCGGAGCGTCCGAATGGATGACGTGGTGCCATGTCAGCTGAGCGGTCCCTTCTGTTTACGATTGGGTGACGTGGTGCCATGTGAGCTGAGCGGTCCCTTCTGTTTACGATTGGGTGATGTGGTGCCATGTGAGCTGAGCGGTCTGTTCTGTTTACGATTGGGTGATGTGGTGCCATGTGAGCTGAGCGGTCTCTTCTGTTTACGATTGGGTGACGTGGCACCATGTGAGCTGATCGGTCTCTTCTGTTTACGATTGGGTGACGTGGTGCCATGTGAGCTGATCGGTCTCTTCTGTTTACGATTGGGTGACGTGGTGCCATGTGAACTGAGCGGTCTCTTCTGTTTACGATTGGGTGACGTGGTGCCATGTGAGCTGAGCGGTCTCTTCTGCTTACGATTAGGTGGCGTGGTGCCATGTGAGCTGAGCGGTCTCTTCTGTTTACGATTGGGTGACGTGGTGCCATGTGAGCTGATCGGTCTCTTCTGTTTACGATTGGGTGATGTGGTACCATGTGAGCTGAGCGGTCTCTTCTGTTTACGATTGGGTGATGTGGTGCCATGTGAGCTGAGCGGTCTCTTCTGCTTACGATTGGGTGATGTGGTGCCATGTGAGCTGAGCGGTCTCTTCTGCTTACGATTGGGTGATGTGGTACCATGTGAGCTGAGCGGTCTCTTCTGTTTATGATTGGGTGATGTGGTGCCATGTGAGCTGAGCGGTCTCTTCTGCTAATGATTGGGTGATGTGGTACCATGTGAGCTGAGCGGTCTCTTCTGTTTATGATTGGGTGATGTGGTGCCATGTGAGCTGAGCGGTCTCTTCTGTTTATGATTGGATGACGTGGTGCCATGTGAGCTGAGCGGTCTCTTCTGTTTATGATTGGGTGATGTGGTGCCATGTGAGCTGAGCGGTCTCTTCTGTTTATGATTGGGTGATGTGGTGCCATGTGAGCTGAGCGGTCTCTTCTGCTTATGATTGGGTGATGTGGTACCATGTGAGCTGAGCGGTCTCTTCTGTTTATGATTGGATGACGTGGTGCCATGTGAGCTGAGCGCCTTACATGTACTGTCTTCTGCGCCACGGGTAGACATTCACCGCCGGCCACCGCCAACTGCACTGTCTAGCGGTATCAGCTATATTTTGCATCCAGTCAAGACCCTTGCATGGTCTAAACCTCTCGCTGTATCGAACAGGCAAAATATTTTCCTCCTTTCCTACCAGCTTTTCGTTTCCATGAAAGTCAAAAAATTTACGTGCACTCTGATGGGGCTTAATTAAGAGCCATGCGGTACAAGCAATGGCAAGTTCCCTCACATGTCAAAATTTGACGTTTGAAGGTCAGATCGCTTAAGTCTGATGCAATCAGGCATTTCACTATTCCCCTGATATTTCTTCGTTTTTCTAGCCGTCTTACCAAGCCGTGTGCTTTCCATACAAACCGAAAAGACAGTCATTGCTGGAGGAATTTGAAATATTTCTTTGTGTAGATGTTGTAACCTTCGGCACGACGAGTTCACATAGGCTTTCCAGAAAAACATCAGTTAAAATTGGTGAAGATAGATTGTTTTTTCCACATAGCAGCCCACAACATTTTATCAAAAACTTCGTACGCCGACAAGGTGGCACGAGTGGTAGGCATATTTTCCGACCTAAGTGCTTTTCATTTGGTTTAAAAGTTCATGGCCTCCCATTCCGGATCGAAATGAAAACAAATAAAGTGAGGAAATCACAAAGTATGATGTCCCCTGGAATAATGGGTCACTAATTATCATACCAGCCGATGACAAAGTCCCATATCACGCTGACAAAAGTCGGTTATTATCCCATTTTGAGTTCCTACCCAACCACAGTGTGATTAGCGGCTTCCGTGATTGGGCAAACTGTTGAACGCGCCAGCGGGAGCCCGCACGCGAACGACTCGCTCACGCGTGCAGCATAACTCAGCCCAAATGGTCTCGAGTGGTCGATGGGTTGAGAGCTCTTAAACCGACCTTCACTACACCAGGAGGGCAAAACGTGCTGGTTAAACAACATTACCAGGCAAGCATTGGTCATATGGAAACGCTGTTGTTGCGTTTCTTACGGTGGTACCCACTTCGTTCCTTGTGCCACTTGCTTGCTTTATCTGACCTAATTTGTCGCGTACATGACTACAGAAAAACGATTGAAGACGTCCCTCGACAATCTTGAAATCCGGGTGCGGGTCTAGGGTGTCCTCAGCGACTCATGTCCAAAATGGTCATTCGGAGGTGCCGCCCTTGCACGTGGATATTAATAGCAGCTGTCGGCTCGTACACGATGCCACGGGACGGTATCGGTCGAGCGGTGCGCGCTCGTCGGGCGCCGGTCGTCACCGCCCAGACCGCGTGCTGCGCTCCACCCCTGGCCCGGCCGCCGCCGGCTGCCACGCCGCCCGCCACCATCGCAGGCACGCCGCCCTATTCAGCGTCGCTCAAAGGGTTGAAAGGGCGCGGCGACGCCGGCCCACCACCCCAGCTTGTCTTTATTAAATTACCGACATCTCGAGAGAGCTAATTCGCGGGCCATTATCCGGCGATAAAGGCGGCGACGCTGACCCCTCCCTAGACGGGTCCCCGGCACCCTTTAATGTCGGCTCCAGTTTCTGGCTGGCCCGTGAGGCGCCTTTTTTGTCCAGCTTGGACCGGGGCTCGAGTCGGGGCTCGACTTCAGCCGACCGGAGCGCACATGCCAAGAGTTCGGCCGAGGCCGGCGACGACACACCGTTGGGTTCGGCCTTCCGATACCGCTGGCGCCTCGCCTTGCTAAACCAGGCCAAATGACGCCGTGTACGAACAGGCTGAAGAATTACTTTTCTGACTGTGTCATTTGGAGGTGATGTACAAAAACAGGCGTGCGTCATTCGCACCGTTTCCAGTTGTGGATAATTGGCTGTTTAAATGAGAGCCTCCACGATTAATGGGACATGGGGAAACGAGGGGATGTTGGTGTTACACGATTGATATCAGAAATGTCCGTCAGCTCCCGCCGGTTCAGAATTGCCTGAAATAACCAATCATGAATACACATAAAACTTGTTACAGGTAGACGATGCCCACCATGATTATTTTCGCAATTGCCGACGATTTTGTCTGGGGGCTGATGCGAAACTCGGTCAGAGCGTTAAGTGATGAATTCGTGATAGTGAAATTGGTTCATCTTTCGGTACGCATACCATTATGAAACACACTATTTTTCGTCGACCCAAAACATGGCCAGCTGTCGTGAGCTTTGCCTGCAATTTTGCCTCCACTCCCAGCATATTATAAGTTGCAGTTGTTTGAAAAAGTCGATGGACCTAGTTCGGATAGATGCGATTATGCATCAGTTAGACCAAAAAACGCTGGCAATCGTGAGCCGAATCGAAGGTAGCATACAGATTTTCTGCATGCCATTTTGCTCGTCCGAATAAAATGGCGCCCAGAACGTTGCAATTGCGATGCCCTCTTTCCTTCAAATCACATCAACTTCGGCAAAACAAGAGGTCAAACGCAAGGCCCATTTCTCAGGTTGTTCTTTCGGCTCCTCTCCCACTTTGGGAAAATCAACAGGTGAAATCATTGCACCATTAGATACCACTGGCCATTGAATATTTTCTTTCGCGACAATGCAAAGAAGGCACGCACTCCAAAAAGCATCCAAGAGCATTGGGCTGCAGGAAAATTATTTGTCGCATGAAGCAAACACCGCCGTTTTACGCGAGAAGAAGCTCTGGCTAACGCTGCAGTGATTTCATCTTTGAGGTGCATCCAATCACGGTGTGTGCGGGCCTTTATTCGCGCCCGTTTCACACAGTACTCCCCACTCTTGGCTTCCGCCCCATGTTTGCTTCAACCCCTCCTGTATGAACCCTGAATCACACACAAAGCCGCTAACAACACAACCCCTCCTGCATGAACCCTGAATCACACACGAAGCCGCTAACAACACAATCCCTCCTGCATGAACCCTGAATCACACACGAAGCCGCTAACACAACCCCTCCTGCATGAACCCTGAATCACACACGAAGCCGCTAACAACAAAAACACCGGCACATGCACGCGGTTTTCGACATCATCGCCGCTGCAAGTGATTTTGCGTGACTAGAGCTAATGGCCATCCGCGTTGATGTAGTTCGCTCCAACTGGAAGACGGCAAGTGCCTGAGGGCGAGCCTGGAGCTCGCCGCAGCTACAATTACCATCGCTGGGCAGTGTCACCCCCGGGCCCCCCCCCCCCCCCTCCCTTCCCGGCGACCCCCCTTCCCCTGCCGATGCCAGGCGTCGCTCACGTCCCGCTCCTTCCGCAGGTATGGTTCCAGAACCGGCGCGCCAAGTGGCGGCGCCAGGAGAAGATGGAGGCGAGCCAGCTGCGTTTGCAGCAGGACTACCCGCTCTCGCCGCCCTTGAGCAGCCTAGCTGGCCCACTCGACCCGTGGCTCGCTTCGTCTGTGTTCGGCTCGACGCTGATGCAGACGCTGCCCGGCTTCCTAGCGCAGCCGCAGACGCCGTACCCCAGCTACCTGACGCCACCCAGCTCGCTGACGCCGCCTCTGGCGCGGCACGAACCGCGGCAGGGCGCCGCCCGACCCAGCCCCTCGCCCTGAGCGGGCTACACGCGCTGCGGCGTCAGGGGGCGCCGCGGCGTCGGACGTCATCCAGGGCGGGGCACGGGTGCAAGTCTTCGCTCCTGTTGGTCGGGTCTGCAGACCCCTACATGGCCGGACGGACCCTCCGGGTCACGGCGCAGCCTCTGGAGCCCCAGAGTCGGACACGGCTCTCGCCCGACCACGCTCTCTCGCCGCCAGGCTATGGGTGGCTGTTCAGCGGACAGGATCTGCGGGCGAATGGTGTTGCCATGAGCGAGTCCCAGCAACGCGTCAGTTCAGACGCGTCAGTTCAGTCAAACTCGAGGGAACGTTTCGCCGGCAGCTCTCAATGTGGTCCGTTGCTGTACGCTGTGCGAAGAAGAATGGATCACAACGTCATGATGAGAAGCGGCTGACAGTGGGGACCTCGGCGGGATCCCTACCCAGCCTGACAGCACCAGCCGGAAAGGCGAGCCAGAACTCTAGCGAACGACCGATGTCAAGAACGTTCGGGCGGCGTCAACGCAGACGCACGACGAAATGCAATCTTGCTTAGTAAACCTCGAAGATTTATGGAACAGAACGGACTCTGCCCGAGATCGCCGCCGCTGCCGGCCTGTGCAAGACCTACCTTCGTGGATTCTACGCAAGCTCACGTAAGGTGGGATAGCAATTTGTTCAGTTGTGCTAACTTCGTGATCAGGACTTTTTGGGTTGCCATATGATGGACCAGTCAAAACGCCATGAGGCCCAAACCATCGATGTTTGTGTACAGTGTTTGTGTGTCATTTCAGGAAAGAAATGGTAGAAATTGCCTTTTTTAAAGGAAGTCTTCAGGGTATTGCTACTTATTTGCTATTTATTTTAATTATTTAAATGCATCACTTGAAAGGTCTTCAGCTTGATCCAGTAAGTGCGTTCATAACAAAACGCACTTGTCAAGTTAACAGGCAGGTGTCCCACATGGTTCATTTCAGTAATTGCTGAGGACGGATCAGTCTCCAAAATTCTACGATGCTAGTTTTTGCAACCAGCAGGAAAGGCAACCCCTCTTTGCTTCTTGATCTTAAGTGGATCCTACGCCCATTTGCCTGTTGCTTGGTCCTTATTTGCCATACATGTGATATTTATGTAATGTCTGTTATATGAATAAAGTAATAGTGTCGCTCGTGAGACCTTGTTAATGACACTGTATTTGCTGTTCGTATAGTATAGAATCATAACGTGGACCTGTTGACCTCATTGTATGGAAATGTGCTTAAAAGCGAAGAAGAATGCGAGCATTAAGCGACTGTGTCACACAACCTCCTCTTGGCCGTTCTCCAATGCTAGTTCCAAATCGGCTTAGCTGATCGACAACGGCCTCTCCTCCCGACCTATTATTTCATCACAGCCGCATTGTCATTATCGAATGTTGCCCATTTACCGTGAACTCGTGTAAATAAAGCCGCCCTCTCTGACCGCCGTAATTGCCGATGGTTTTCCGATTGCGTCTGTTACTACAATGAATACACGCTCGGCGCCGTGCGGGAGGCGCTGTCCCCGCCGGCGGCGCCGGCCGGCCAGCCGTCTCCAATAACGCCCAACCTCGCCAGATCAGCCGATTCCTTTTCCGATATAAGTCGAGATTACATCAACGGTCCCGCCACGATGAATCGCGTGACGTCACACAGCCCACAGTTCAATCGGGCCCGGCCCAATAATATGGTAATTGTGTTTGCACAGACTAACCGAGCAAAAAGCAGCCGGCAAATTGGATCCAATAAAATTTTCCGAACAATTACGATGTGGCTGAGTTCCTGAGGCGAAATCGTTAGGCCTCCATTTGAGCGAGTAATGACACGATTGAGGGTATGGGTTGGTGCTGTTGTGTTCATATTAAGCTTGATAACTTTTCAGTATCCCGCAAAGGTGATTTCCCGCCAATGGTCGCAGTAGTTGCATTGGAGGTTTTGACAAAATTGGTTTAGCAGATGGCCCAAACATAATTATTAGATTGCGGAGTTTCTATTCAGCAACTGCTCCGTGTGGTTCAGACCCTGCTGAAGACCATGTGATGAACTTGCAGATCCAGGCGGCTGTCAGCGCCGAGATAACGAGTTTAGCCCGGTCACGTGACAGCTAATGCGTTAACCACATCAGTAAGTGCACCACGGCACTGGACGATGCCGCAGAGATGCGCTCTGAGTTTCGAGGCTAACCACGGTGCAGTGGCGTCATGTGACAGGTCTTTCAAAGTCTGGCGAACTGTCGACTGGGACGGCGGTCGCGAGTCGGTTTCTTGCTATTGTTCAGTGAATAACTTGAGGTGGTTATGAATATAGAACTCATCCACGCGGATTTCATATATCTGTCAGCTATTCACTCATAATTAACTCGGAGCAACTGTCGGCTCTGTTTCTCCATCAAACTGGCCCCTACACAATAAATGTTTGTGGGAGTTCAAATCCGACAAATAGCTGACAACCAGTGGAACGTCGCCACTCCCAGCCAGACGCGGATCTTGCATTTCTCGCTGGGGGAGGGGGGGGGGGGGGAGGATAACCTCAGAAAGGTATATCTTTCTGTGGTTCCTCCCTCCTTCCCGTGCTGTAAGAGCCCCCCCCCCCCCTCCAGGAGGCACCATAGGTTTTCAATGTGGTGAGCCCCTGAGCGGTTAAAAGCGCCCGCGGTACGTCCACACACAGTGCTCTCCACAAAAACGTAGAAGCCTTCGTAAATGGGAATGAAAAGGAAGCCACTATACCATGTCCCTGGGTCCCAAAATGCGTTGTAAGGCTATGTTATAGGAACCCGGTGACAGCAAAAAGCCCTCCGCGCCAATGGGAAGAACTATAGACCGATGCGACAAAGGGTCCATGAACAATAGGTCATAGCATATACCTAAGAACAAACTGACTTTTCAAAACTAACTCACAATAATCTTTAGGACTCACTGAATTCTGGAGAAATGCGATTTAAGGACGAGCAGAGAACCGATGGCAGAATACTGAATTCTGGAGAAATGCGATTTAAGGACGAGCAGAGAACCGATGGCAGAATACTGAATTCTGGAGAAATGCGATTTAAGGACGAGCAGAGAACCGATGGCAGAATACTGAATTCTGGAGAAATGCGATTTAAGGACGAGCAGAGAACCGATGGCAGAATACTGAATTCTGGAGAAATGCGATTTAAGGACGAGCAGAGAACCGATGGCAGAATACTAACAAAATTTGACTGCCGAAAAACTCCCCTAACAGCACGCTTTCCAGCCTTAAGCATCAGAGCATATTATCAATATGGAACACTCGCAATATACCCATGCTTTCTTCAAACCATATCTGCAAAATACCCGTCGCCTAGCGTAGGAATGCTAAAACACATCCATGAAAATCTCGGGACGGCCATCATCGGATGGCGACTGCGCGTGAGCAGGCGTCGACGGAAGCAAAGCGGCGCCGGCATGTCCTTCTGAAGCGTAGTGACGGGACTTCCGACCAGGTTTGCATCAGAGGAGTGAGGATGAGGATGGAGGATGAAAACATGTCTGATACACTTATGAAATATTTATGACATGATATACTCATATTCATGCATAAAATGTATGAAATATTCAGGCGGTGTAATAGAAACGGGCTTTTATTTGATTTTAGCAAGCTTTTTGTTGCCATGCGCCGTCACCTAAACCAAAACTGTCTTAAAGGAGACGTCAGGAGCAAGTTGCTTTTGCACCACCTCGGTGGCAAAGCTGCGTGCCAAGTAAGGTAGATCCGCTGCACCGGCTTCGCTTTCTACGTCCGACTCGGCCAACTGTTGTGCTGATCCTGCTGTCTGTTGTTATGCCCCTGCCGACTGTTGCAGTGACCCTGCCGTCATCTCTACTTTACCAACCGTCTACTGTACCGACCCTGCCGTCTGCTGTAGTGCCCATTCCGCAACGTTCCAAAATTAATTCGGCTGGATTTCAGGGACGTCAGCATACAAATATTCATCCAGGCTTCTGGCTTCTCAGCCACCTTTGCGCCCACCAATATTTCGTTGGCCGTTTATCTTTAGCCCCAGACCCTGGCATTCTGACCTGCCCGCCCAACTTGTCAAGCCCGGGGCGCCTAGATGCTGGATTGACCGCCATCCGGCTCGATGCTGATTGACTGATCCTGAGTCGGGGGAGGAGCAACAAACAATGGGCTCCGAAGTGGGGAGGGGGGGGGGGGAGTTGCAATAGGATGGGCAAATATCTACATGCTTGTTACCGAAGTGACCAAATATTGTCACACTGCCCTTTAGTCCGTTGCATGGATACCGCGTCGTTTTCTGCATTGACCCTGCCGTCTCTTGTACGGATCGCAACGTCTGTTGCGGCAACCCCGCGGCCTTCTGTACCGACCCTGCCGTCTGCTATTCCGACCGTGCCGTCTTTCTTCTGCTTTACCGACCCGGCCTTTCGCAATACTAACCCTGTGGCGTCTAGGTTGCCGCACCAACCTTGCAACGTGTTGCCAAAAGCTGCCGGGTCGGTACAACAGGTTCAGACTTCTGCTATGCGGACGCAGTCCACCGGAATGCCTGAAAGCCGCCGTTTGGTCACCGGGCGAAACTGGGTAATAACTGCCTATTGACAAAACGACCTCACACGATATTGTGCGCTGGCGGGTTGCTTACGGGTGGGCTCAGTTGTCGGCGCGAAGTACGAACGTGCCTTTTGCAGGAAAAGGAGTTGCTGAATCGGGTGGACGTGAGCGATGCGGATTCGGCCATCACCACACCAGACGACGAATTTCTTCATCTCGTCGCAAAATCCAAGCAGAGCTGGACGATGAAGCCCACTACTGCGCCGCCAAGAGAAGCAGCTCAAGAATGGATTCTCTCAGGTGTTTGACACCTTATGACCTTCCAAAATTCTCATAAATCATCTGGATGAGGTGGATAAAGTTTTTATAGACAAGCTCTCAACACAAACAACATCCTTAAAGCCCACTGTGATTGCTCTCCTCGAGTTTGAGCGCTTCGCGAGCGTTCACGAGTCGCAGCTCGCCGCAGACTGGAATGTCACGAGACGAAGGCTCGAAACGAGGAAAATATTTGCATGCGCTACGAACCTGCATGGAGAAGCGATCGTGCAAAATAGGCTGGGAGAGAATGGGTATCCGCCGACAAGGGAGAAACTCAACGATCTGCGACAGCTGGTTAAAGGCAATATTCCACATTTGAAGATATTGAGATAGGCAGCAGATACCATTGGAAAAGCTTGCTTGCAACTATTGGTAAGCTTTCACGGTTCAAAAACGACCCTAAGTGGTAAAATTTCAAAGTTTGTAAAAATGCGCCCCATTATGTCATTGTTTGATGGCGTCATGGTATGGTTTTGTGATGACAGCAATATCTGGCAGTATTTGGCAGCCCGACCTAAATAATACCTTGAAACGCACGAAAGCTGACACCAACGGGCCATTCTTGTCGCGTGTTGTGTTGGGTGGCGGATCAGTGAACGGCTTGTTTGTGGATTTTCGTCTTAGTACTGGTCGTAACAGAGGTTTTAATGGGCTGTGAAGCTTTGGTGACATACGCAACGAAGCGATCGCAAGCTTTTAGAGCAGACTATTAATATCAGGGCACGATATGCGTGAAGACTGTCATACAACGTCATGAATCGCCCACCGAAACCTGTCAAGGACTGTTCAGAATGTCAATATTGTATCGTTGACTTACCCCTGCATGCAGTGCTGTAGTCCTGACATTGATATCATGTGATGTGTACAGTAGTTAATTTCTGTATCATTTGTGACTGGAAATACAGTTGAACGTAAAAATCAATAAAACTGTAACATTGCTATGACTTGATTGCCAAAACATTGCTATTTCTATGGTAAAGATTGTAATGAGCCACCAAGAATGTTTTTCTTGCTTAAGATTATTTATGCAACTGCCAGAAAACCTTGCTATAAGCATTTTGGTGCAACAGCATTCTTGCTGGTGATGGTCCTTCGGTGATGTTAAATCAGCTGCTACCATAAGTTATTATATACTCACAATAACTCATAAGTTATCTCATAGGCTTGACCTAGAATAGTCAACCAATGTGGTACATTATGTAATGGCACGGGTCAACAGTGTCATCATGGCACTACCTCAGTGCTGTGCTGTAGCATGGTATAATGAACAATGATGTGGTTTTATACTGCAATCCCCGCTGCTTTCATACTAAATTCCATCACGAAAAGATGGGTCAAGCATGCATTCTTGTATTTACTCCGCATCTGACATATGAGTGACCAAATATGCGAGATACAATATACAAGTCGCTTTCAGCAAAGCACACAACCGGTAAGTTACATCACTTGTGCACCCTGTGTTGGAAATCCACAAAATACAGGTGACAGAGATGCAAAAACGCCTTCTGCTTTCACAACCATGCAACATGCTGCAGCCATCAGACTGCCTCACTCAAAACTATTGTTCGCACA